CCATGCTGGATCTTTGAATCTTGATTCTTCTCGTTCTCCAATCTGCTTTACAAAAAGGGAGAGGGGAGAAATGTCACAGCTCAAAATTTGTCTCATGCTTCGCAGAACTAACCAAACATCCATGGCCTCGGAAAAAATATATTCAGCTTCACTTAGCTGCTTATTAATTTACTTAGCATCAGAATGACACCACGAGGAATCTGTAAAAAGAAACCAGCATATGCAAAACACTTCACATGTGCACAAATATCAATTGCTGATCAGTAGGGAGGGGAAAAAAAAAAGAGAAAGAAGAACCAGACTGCTAGAAAAATTAACAACAGTGAAATAAGTAACACAGGACATAAATCACCACATATTGTAAAGTCTCAAAAGCAACGAGGGTTGAGGCTACAAGCTGATGTATGGTCTTCTGAGAAATGTATCTAAATTAAGAGCTACAATACACAGAAGAAATTTGAGGTATGTTTTCTAAGGGAGTATGTGACTGCTGCTACAGCAGTCTGTAGCCTACACTGTGTCTTCAGCAAGTTTGTCACCATGGCAACCTGAAATTTTTCTGTAAGACAATTTTGTTAGTAAAATTTTAGGGATAGATTTGTGCCAGGAAGGAGTGTCCACACATGTGGTGGTGACAGCACGATCCTCTGAGAGCAGCTTGTCCAGGAGTACCCGGGTCCTGCCTGGCCCTGGAGTTGGGGGATGCAGGCCAAAGAACCAGGACCAGCCACTACACTCACTGGGGACCAGGTGACAGGAGAAGAAACAGGAACAAGTGGGAACATGGGAAATTCCAGCTCAGTTTAAGGAAAAGAACTTTGCCAGAGAGTGCTCCGACACAGAGCCTGGAGCCCAGAGATGGTGAAGGATCTATGTCCTGGGACATTCAAACCTCAGCTACACAGCCTCATGAACCTGGCCCTGCTTTGAGCTGGCACTGGGCTTCCAGAGGTCCTTCCTAACCTGCGTGACTATTTGACAAGCTTATTTCTAGTGCTTGCAAAATGCAACATTGAGCAGCAGGCTGGAAGACAGACAAGAGCCCTTTCTGTTCCTCCAGTGGAGTCCTGTCGGTTTTCTCCAGGAATAAGGGGATTGCGATCAGGCCTTAAAGACACAGTGAAATCTAAGGAATCATCCAAGCTCTGCATCCTACAGTTTCCTCAGTGCAGCAGTGGGTCTAACCCTTCAAAAACAGATCCAGAAGAGGTGGGCAAAGGCCAAGGCAAAAATCGCTGGTGTTCAGAATAGCAACAAGAGATTGTCACTGTTTCTTCCCTGTGCTGTAACACCTCTGCTTCATCCCCACACCACGATCTGACCTGAGCATCAGGAAAGGTCCTGCCTGGGTCTGTTTTAATTTCAGTCCTTCACCTCTGAACATGCTGTCTTCTCTGCCACAGCGTATCACAGATTCCAGATAACACTAAGGACTCAGCTATCACAGACAGATTCCAAAGCAGGAGGAATATAATGGTAGCCTGTCATTTCCTCCACGTTGCCTAAGCGATAAATTGCTCTAGCTCTCACTCTCAAAGCTCATCTGATACAGAGCTCATGCACTATGCAAAGATCCCATTCTGCAGGGATTTTCCTTCCCTCTGATGCTTCACTTTTTTCCCCAGAAAGCAATAAGCTGCTTTCTGAGAACTGTAGAAAGAGGAGTGGGTGAATGGAGAGGAAAAAAAACAAAGACAGAATATATGAAGCCATGAGAATATGAAACTGGAACAAAAATCAAGCAGATTCTTAATGAGGACACTGGGGATAAAAGCTCTTCTTTCCATGCCCCAGGAGGGTTATGAACCCTGCTCAATTATTATTTTTATAGAAGACAGACAAACAAGCATCCCTCTCACTCTGAAGGTTGGATTCTGGATTTCTTGGGTTTGAGAAGAGGCCAAATGTTGCCAGATATTCTTCCATTGGAAAAAAAACCCCTAATATTCAAGGATGCCAGTCTAGTGACTTCTGCTTCTGCAAGGCTGTTAATCAGCTTGTAACAACTGCCATCACCACAACCCTGCCAGCAGTGAGCTATGCCAGGTGAGAACTTGGCCAAAGAGTCATTTTAAGAAAAAAGTAGAAAACTTGAGGAGGAAATCACAGCCCCTCGACTTGATGCAGAAGGAATTTGATTGTCTGTTAAAAAACACTTTCCTTTGTTGGTGAATGACAGTAGAAGAAAATCAGCATTCACAATCTACACATATACTGCAAGAAAAGGCAGGAGCTTCCTTCTTAATTTTCCTGTTCAAGGAAATGAAGCATTGCTGGTGAGACTGCAGGCCTAAGTCATAGGTCAGACTCCATCCTGAACAAAAAAAAAGCTGCCTCAGGCAGTTGATTTTAGAAAAGCAGAGCACTGGGGCCCTTTTCTTTTGCTTTCTGGAGTTCAAGGTGTTATGTGAGTTTGAGCCAATTTTTAGGCTTCTCTTCATGCTTCAGGGCCACAAACATCATTAAGCAGATTCCAGCTTAATGGAGCCCATAATCCCTTATGCCTGTGCACACTCAAAATGCCTTTCACATTGTGTGTGTGCTAAACAGCATCCTTTCAGAGCAGGAGTCCCTCCTGCCCCAAGTCTTCCAAGAGGGGGTTGACTGCATCACTAACGTGCCCTTTGCTGACACTGTAGCTATTGGAACAGCTCCAACAAGCTCTACATGTACCTGTCAGGCCAAGCTAACTGGTGACCTTAACACTTGTTGCAGTCTAAGGTTGTTAGCCCGGGATCAGCTGTTATACAGCAGCTGGCTCTCCTGCTGTCACTCGCTCATGTGCCTGAGCTATTTGTTGGAAAGACTGGTCCTCAGCATGACATGTGAATTTTACAGTCTCCCCAGTTCTGGAGATGCACTAGGAAATAAATCCAGAAAATCTGATTAGGACTTGTCACTGAAGTAAGCTCATTAATCATTGATGTGGTTCTTTCATATGCAGTTTGCCAACTCCTGCAGGTACCAGAAGACCAGTGGGTTTGCAGAATTGAAAAGGTTCTTCTTTATATAACAATTGCACTGATTTTTTCCTTTTGAATATTAAGCACACTCTAATAAAAAAAAAAAAAACAAACCCACCACAAAGCACCAGTGAGATCATTTAGCTAGCTGTTTGCATAGAGTCAGGCACAGGATTCCCCTGAAATAATTCCTGTAGCCAAAAAGATAAGATAAGATTATCTAGTTCAGAAAATGTAAAGTCCAGCATGAAAAACTCGTCAGCCACTTGCCTTAGTAATTTTTGCAGCAGTCAGTTACCCATACTGTTGCATAAAAAAAAAAAAATCCCATTTCTTACCTGAACTTGTCTAACTTTGCCTGTCAACAACACGTTCTTTGAGTAAGAGATGAAAGTCTTCTATTATTAAATTGCTGTTTCCCCAGCATCCCCTAAAATACTCTCAGCTAAACTAAGCCAGCTGAGCTACTGCCATCTCAAAACACAGTACATACTTCCCATGCCCCAAACACTGCCATCACAGTATGGCTTGTGAAAATGCTAACTATGATCACACAGGTGCCAAAACACAGAGAAAAAAAAAACCATGAATAACTCCCCCTGGCCTCAAACACATGAAATAATTTGTAGCTCCAAATTAAACCCATGGATGAAATCCTCTATTCTGAATACAAGTGAAATTGAGAAGTAAGACTTCTTTCCAGACTTTACAGCTAATAAGTCAAATCAATAAAAACAACAGGAATAAGGAGTTTTGACAGGTTTTGAAATTCTCCTGATGTATCTGCCTCTGAGATGTCCAAAACACTACTATGAAACACAGCTCCACAAATGACACTTGCAGCCTACCTTCAAGAGCAAGCAGAAAGTTTTAAAGCTCAAACTGCACAGGTTTTCAAGGACCATAACTTTCTCCGCATGTGTTTTACGTTCTCTTTCAAGAAGATTTTACAGCTTGCTTCTGGTTGAGAGATTTGTTAGACATTAGATACAGGAACACAAAACATTTGTAATTACTGCTTAATGGGGATAGTTCCTCCTGAAGGCCAAAGTATTAGCTTAAGATACCTGGCATTTTCCAAATTAAAAGAAAAGGATATCTCCCCATAGACATAGGGAACATATGGATCTCCTTCCCCACAACTTCTGGAGGATCAGTTGAAGGAAGTTCAACCTGAATTCACCCAGCCAGACTGAGGCAGTTTGGTTCTCAGAAGCCAACTATGGTCATGCACTTACAAAATTTGTCCCCCTCTTCTCTGGAACAGAAAGTCAACCTTATGCTACCTTCCAGTAAGCCTCAGTCTTTCCACACCGTCTTCTTGGATTAAAGGTAACCAGAAGGACACAGAGTGCACACCAGAATGCCACTGCAATATGTTCAATGCAATTCAAAGACATTTAGAAAAGTTAGAGATTCCTAGAAGAGGAAGGGCAGTGATTAAAACAGCTTATCACCTTTACTGCTCAAATTGCATATGGATTTAATGAAATAATTTTTTAAAAGACCTGACCTAGCAGAATGACTGGGTTTTCCTTTCATACCTAGTTTCTAGGAGAGCAGGGTGTATGTCTCCTTCAGCACGTATAGGTTTATCACAGACAGGACATATAGGTTTATCACAGGACACTGGTGTTTGTGCGAATATATAGGATGGACCACTCAAGCGAAAGTTGTGAGCTGTGCAGCTGAGGTGTCTTCCTAGGAGCGAAGCAACAAGAGGAAAATAAAAAATGTCTTCTGCTGCCTTGACAACTGGTCAGACCCCTCTTCTGTGAGACCTCCTGTAGGCATCAGAGATTGCCACCCCACCAACATTCGTCAATGGTGTTGGTTGTGCTGTTTGTGTCACTGAATTTCTCCATGAGCAAGTCCTACATATGCCTAGACTAAAATGGATTTTAACATGCTTGTAGCCAAGAACCAATTCCCAAAAAGGTCCTTAATCCTGAGCAGTCACTTTCCCAACCTGCTGCAAAACCTGCAGACCTTAGGTGCATGAAAGCTACACTTTGAATTGTACTCACCCAAACCATATTATTCAATCTTGCCAGAGCTGAAATAGCTGGGTTTATGCCAGTCTCCATGGCCACTGCCTCTTCCTCTTGAAAGGAAGGCTTCAGGAGCAAATATATCTTTTTTTAAAAGAACATGGAGACATACATGAGTGTTATATGCTTTCAAACATGCGTTCAATCAGCATTCTACACAACATCAAGACAACCTCAAGGACACACATAAGTCCTGGCTACGAGAGCGCAAACCTGGCAATCCAGAAGATGCGTGCACAGCATATACAAACTGCCCTACTTTGCAGCCTAATGCCCTCACTGCTTCCTCAATGAGACACCCCTCTGAAAAGGAAAAAGCAGCTGGCCATGACCTGAGCAAACTGCTGGTCTTCCATATTTTCTTCTCCCTCACTAGATGACTTTCAGATGGTCCAAACAGATGATCCAAAAGACAAACATGTGCCAGGACAGTCCAGCAGGGCATAAACGGCTTACCTTCTCTGCGATGGCTGCCTTGCCTGTTAGGGTTCATTATCGGCATATGAATCATCTGCAAATTAAAGAAGTTTCTTTAAAAAGCTCATCTATCAAGAAGTTCACCTTTCCTTCATTCCCTCAGGTACTGTGTGATCACCAGAGTAATTCCAAACTTTATCATCAATTTCTCTGAAAACAAGATTGCTGCTGATACTATTGCAAAGCAGTAATGTTGCTAAGGAAGTCTGCAGATGCAGGTAGGCTCTCAGGTCAACATCTTTCATAGTTAATATTTTACCTGACCTTCCTGTAGCGCAGATACAGCCAGGAGAGCAGAGTCAGTCTGTTGCGGTCACACAGGGCACCTCTTCGACTTCTTTATCCCAAATTACTTTTTTAAAATCTCTCTATACTCTTCTTTTGTTTGTCTCTATCCAAGTAACATGATCCCAGCCTCAGCTGGTCACAGTTCCTTCTCCTATCCAAATGCCATCAGCACTATGGGACCCACACCAATACCATCTGCCACAGCTACACCACACCATCTCAGCCAGGCTGAGATCCCTTGAACTGAGTTACAGCTCTAGAGCAAGAGCTACAGTGCACTTGCTGCAGCCCTCTGCAGAAAGAAATACTTTACTTTTCATGTGCAATAATTCCCTTTGGCATTTATTTCTTATTAACATTGCAGGAAATATATTTGC